CCAGCGTCCTGTTGTGAGGAAATTTGGGTCTCTGGGTCATGAACTTCTATTCCTCAGAAAGAGAAATCATTTGAAGTAAATCTATTCCTTTTCATCTTGGAAACTTTTTCAAAAGAAAGGAACACAGATGACATCCACCTCAGTTTAGCCTTTGCTTTCTGGTGCCTGTAGGGGGAACCCTTGATAGCTGATTATTTTCACTAGCTTCAGGATAAACTCCAGGAGTTGAAGCTGTTTAGGTCATTCTGGCTTTGGGCCCACCTGCCCCAGCTTTCCAGAACAGTAACTTCCACAGGAAGTGCTGATGTTTGTTAATCACATATAGGATGAAGTCAGAAGGATAAGGGTCATTTCTTAAATTTTAAAATTGTAGCTTGGTTTAAAGGGCAGGATGGATTATTCCAGCATATGGAGGCTGTGACAACCAGGCAGAATCATGAGCTAAATGCATGAACTGTGTGTGTGTGGCTTATTTCTTTGGACAGAAGAAAATGAAGTTGAGGACATGAATCAACCTCTTGCTGGTAGTTTTCTTTTTATAATATGGTCCCAAAGGAGACAAATAAGGACTCAATAATAATGGAACCTGTATTAGCTACTGAACTTCTGGCATGTCCTTGGCACTGGGCACCTACTTTCCCTCCATTGATCAGAGGGTAAGTAACGTGCTCAGGCTCCACAGTTGGCACCCTTCCTAGCTTGGCTCTCCTGCCTCCCCCAGTGCAGGTGCAGATGCTCAGCAAACCATGCTGCTGTATGTGAGGGTCGGCAGGCTGGACCCTTCTGGGAAGCAGTGTGGGAGATGTGGAGAACACTGAGGCTGGTCTCAGAAAGTTCACGTGCTGCTTCCTGCTCCACCCTGTGCTAGCTGTGTGACCTTGGGCAAGTCCCTGCATCCATCTCCACCTCCTGGACCTTACAGAGTTGTTATGAGGATAATGCCTGGGAAAGTATTTTCTAAACTCTTCATGGTCTATAAACTTAGCTTATTTTTAAAATTGTACCTGTCATCATCAACACCCTTTCTCTGCCACACTGCTCTGGCTTACCTGGCTGGACAAGCAGATTCAGAAGAATCAAGGGGTCCATAAAATCCAATGTATGGATGGCCTGGGTTTATTATTATTATTATTATTATTGTTATTATTATATGTTAATATTAATAATAATAATCATTACAGATTTTTTTTTAAAGGACTTCTTTTAGCAAGTTGTAGGATGTTTTGCTAAGGGAGAGATCACAAAGTGCCTGCACCTGAAGGACCGATTGCCCACCTGGCTCTCCCTCCTGAGGTTGTACGTGTACCAAGAGCCGCCTTCCCTGCCCGTGCGTTCGGTCAACAGCTCAGCCTGTCTCATGTGTGATCCTCTTTAGCACCCTTTCTCTTCCACCTTCTTTCCTGATTTCAGCCCAGATATTTCAGGGAAATCTCTGCATTTCTTTTATGAGAAAATAGAATTGTAATCATGGTGTGAAATTATTAAGGGAAGTTCTACCTCTGTGGCAGAAAAGAGGCGAGTCATAAGGATTAAAGCTCAATGAAATATAAGAGATTTTTGGTCATTTGTTAAAAATAAGCTTCCTCACCTAGACAGTCACCAAATGACCCTCCATTGTCCTTGATGTTCTGCTCTCTGCCCCTTCCCTGCCTTTGTGGCTTCCGGGAGCTGGGACTCAGAGAGGACATAAAGTTTAGGTCAGTGCATGTGACTGTGAACAACAAGCACTAGAAAAGCCTTGTCAGTGCGCACAGTAGGGCAAAAACTCAGTGATACACTCCCTGTTTTCCGATGGAGGGGACCGCTTGGCCTCTGAACTCCCACCACACCAACCAGTCAAATTTGAATCAGTGCCTGTTTATGTTGTGCTGACAGAATGAGTAGGATTGGGTGTAATGCAGGGTTGTAGATAGCTTGATTCAGATTCTTCTCTAATTCTTCATGCAATTCAAGATACATAAAACTTTTTAATTCAGTGTTTACAAATTTTATTTAAAAAATTATCCACATGCTGAACACTGAAGAACTGGCTGATAATTCTTCACAGTGATACAGACATTATGGTTTACAAAGCCATTTACAATATATTGTCTCCTTTGGTATCTTAGCAATGTTATGGGTGGATTTTGCTTCTAGAAGCTAAGCTGGGAGTCTAACCACTATTTAGAACAGGGCGCAGCAAAGTATAGTCTGAAGGCCAGGTTTGGCCCACAGCCTGTTTTTCTACAGCCTAAGAGCTAAGACTGATCTTAACATTTTTAAAAGATTGTAAACAAAGACAGACAATGCTCAAAGCAGAACCTGTGACAGAGACTGCGGCATGTAAAGCTAAAAATATTTACTCTTTGGCCCTTTACAGGAGAAGTTTACAGACCCTGATTCAGAAATTATTTCTCTGAAAAGGTGTTTTGAGTTCCAGAAAGGTTATTAACAAAATAACTTTTGGATTATCACATGCTTCTAAGTCATGGATTCTCTGTATTTTGAAAGGATTTAGTCCTGTAGCCATGTGAGAAAACTTAACCAATATGGCATAAATAGTATTATAAAAAGCATGTATTATAATGTCCTATTCATATGTGTAAAATGAGGTTGTACAAATCCATGCTTACACATATGTAGAACATTTCTAGAAGGATAAATATAAGTATGCTGACAGTGATTGCCTGGGGGGAGGGTCATGTATTCTCTGAGAATTTATTAGTGAAGGGAACTTTTCACTTTATCCTCTTCAGTATGTTGTGGATTTTTTTTTCTAATCATGAGCACAGATTATTTTTATATGTGGAATGTAAGGAGAGTAGAATGTCCTAACTTAAGTTTTAGATTTGTGTATCTAAATACATAACTATGTATCTTTGTCTTCATTCCCTGCCCCCTAAATCTGGTAAATATAGTTAGAGACATTGTTACTTTTTCCTGGAGCATCACGTGTGGATCACAAAACTAGAAACCACCCAGGTCACACATCAGCTGTGGAGCTGAGCCAGTTAGGGGCAGGTAAACCGGCTGGGCCTGGGCAGCTTGTCCCAAGGATGCACTGACATTTTCTGTTC